CTAAACTGGAGATAGGCTGCCTGTTTGAGAACAGTGCAGAGGCCAAGTTTTTTGGCGATCCGTGAGAGAACCGCTAAACTGGAGATAGGCTGCCTGTTTGAGAACAGTGCAGATGCCAAGTTTTTTTGGCGACCCGTGAGAGAGCCGCTAAACTGGAGATAGGCTGCCTGTTTGAGAACAGTACAGAGGCTAAGTTTTTTTTTTTTTGGCGACCAGTGAGAGAGCCGTTAAGTTGGAGATAGGCTGCCTGTTTGAGAACAGTGCAGAGGCAGGTCAAGTTTCTGGAGATCTGTGAGATGATTCACCTTGCCTAAACTTGTTGATTTCCTCAGCATTCATATATCTTTGAGCTTTTGTGAATAGTTCTGGCATGCTCTTCGGTGGGCGCTTCAGAACTGAGAAAAGGAAACTTGATGAACGGAGGCCACCCAAGAAGGCGGTCATCGTCACCTTGTCGTCGGGTTCATCAACTTGGAGTACCTCCTCGTTAAAACGAGTGAGGTAACTCCTCAGGCTCTCCTCGCGGTCCTGCTTTATACTAAGCAGGTGCGTAACTGGCTTCTGGTGGCGACGCCCTCCTATGAAGTGTGAGACGAATGATCTGCTAAGCTCGGCAAAAGAGGTAATAGAGGCGGGGGAGAGCTTAGCAAACCACTGTCGGGCAGACCCCTTTAATGTGGTTGGGAATGCCCTGCACATGATTTCGTCTGGTACGTTGTGCAATTGCATCAAGGTCTTGTAAGTGTCGAGGTGGTCCAGTGGATCCTTTGTTCCATCAAAGGTCTCCACAGATGGCATTTTGAACTTCTGAGGGAGGGGGTAGTTTGCTACATCAGGTTTGAAAGGGGTATCAGTACGCCTTACCAGGTGGTCAACAGTCTCGGGTCCTTGTGCCTTCATGGCGTTGAAGACATCACCGAGTTGATTATGTACCTCCTTTATCTTCTCGTCCCAATGATTGGGGGCTCTTCTGGAATGATCATGGAAGTGGCTTCCATGCCCCATGCTTTGATTTTCACCCTCATCCTCCTGGAGATAAGGGTCCTCTCCCTGGAAAGCAAGGGGAGGGGGAGGTGCAACTCCCTCATGTTGGGCTTTCCGAAGTGGGGTGCCCAATGGGGCACCCCGGCGTGGAGCAACAGGGCGTGGTGCTTCTTGATGTCCAGGATGTGGAGCTCCTTGGGGTGCTCTATGTTGTGCACCTCCGTGGGGCCCTCCATGTTGTGCACCTCCATGTGGTGCTCCACGTTGTGCACCTCCGTGTGGTGCTCCACCTTGGGGTCCTCCATGTTGTGCACCTCCGTGTGGTGCTCCACCTTGGGGTCCTCCATGTTGTGCACCTCCGTGTGGTGCTCCTCCTTGTCCAGCAAGTATGAGTTGCAGTAACTGTTGGTTTTGAGCAACCAGTTGCTGCATGGTCTCCAATATTTGTTGGGGATTCGGGGCTAGAGTATCCGGAACAGGGTTGATAGGCGGGGGAGCAACCTCCTCCTCTCGTGGAGGATTGTCTTCGTGTTGGTTCATGGATCGGGTAGTGATCGCCATTAGTTCAATGGATGTAATGTTCAAGAGTGAGAATTTTGTCGATTCCCACAGACGGCGTCAAACTGATGATGCACAAAAATGGTTTTGCACACCACCTGTCAAGTATAGATAATAAATGCAATGAAATCAACGAAAAAATTAGAGAAGACACAATTTATAGTGGTTCGGTCAATTCGACCTACGTCCACTCTTCAATGGCTTCAGTCGCCGGGTATTTTATTGATTCAAAGGTATGGAGAATGGAGATACAAGCTTTGAGAGAGAGAGAATGGAGAATCAAAGAAAATAGTAATCTCCGGTAGTCGGTTCGTCTTCTGTAAGTCTCTGATGGAGCATGTCCTTCCTCTCCCAGATTAGAGCCATTTTATAGTAGATAAGAGATCATTCTTGTGGAGATCATGACATATCATCAAGGCTTCTTTATCGCAGCTTAGAGATTATCTTTGGTGGAGATCACGACTTATCCTCAATGGAAGGAAGAGGTTGGGGAGCTCTTCATGAAACGTGGTCAAAGATTGGACCGTTTCCTTCCTTCGGTGGTGCGGATAAGCTTCCCGTGCTCTCCTCTTGGTGACGTGCCAAACAAGAAGTCTAACCGGCCTTAAGCTTCCCGTGATCTCCTCTTGGTGACGTGCTAAGCAAGAAGTCTAACCGGTCTTGGACTGTCTTGGACTTGGTGGATTTGGACTGTTTCCTTTGGCGGTGCAGATAAGCTTCCTGTGCTCTCCTCTTGATGACGTGCTAAGCAAGAAGTCTAACCGGTCTTGGACTGTCTTGGGCTTGGTGGAATCAAAATGAGGTTGGGCTCCTCAACTGGGGTTGGATTTTAACACATAAATTGGACTATTTGGACTTAACCCATCAATATATAACAAAATACAGAATATAACCTAGAAGAACGATGAGAAATTTCATAACTACATTATAAATTTAATTACAACTCTGATCGAATCAGTCAAATACTCCATAGTTTTTTTCCCTGGTTCAAACTTTTCGACTCCAACGCTCAAAGAAAAAGAACCAAAAAAGGATTTGGAGCATTGTCCCAACAAAGCTCTTTTGTCACCCTAACCGTTGAGCTAAAAACAAAAACTCGTCTATCAACAACCTAGCTAGTCCTTTCTTGAAATTCATTCACTTTAGCCCCTGGTTTAGTGGCATCGATGAGAAATTGTCCACTTCGCTCCACACCCATAACAAAAATTGTTTCTGCATCTGCAAAAGATCAAAAAAGTAGAATTAGATCGACAATATCACTTATTTAGATAAATAACAAAAAGATGGACTCTCGTTATGAAATTTACGTAAGATCACACAAATATAGTCTTACGTCACAGGCGTAAATACAGAGTTAGAAAAAGTGTAATTAAATCACAACCAAGCTTAACCTGCATGTAATGTGCAAACAACCATCAACCTTCTCCACGTAAAACTTGCAGTGAGGGCATCTCCTCCATTGCTTGTTCTTAGCAAGTTCCATCAGCATCATGTCTTCCCTTCCTCTCTCATCCTTGTTCAACTTCTGAAACTTCCCACATTCCATACCTGCATGCCATGAAACTTTGCATTGTGCACAGAACAGTCTTCTGCAATTCGGACATTCAGACATAGTCACAACCTCCCCTCCATCATCCACCAACAAAGCCGAACAATCCTTGAAAGGACAATAATATTTTTGCGAACCAAGGATTACAGACTCGCACAATGTGTTCTCCCATCGATCAAACACTTCTTTTGGAACAATGGGTCGACACAAATCGGGTTCTATAATACCTTTACAGTTGGTGTCTGGACATTTAACATTGTAAATATTTTCCTGTATCTTTGCTGCAACATATTTGCTGATGCAATCTGCACAGAAAGAGTGTGTGCAAGCTTTGTTCCTGAATATCTCTCCTGCTGGTTTTGTATCCAAGCAAATTGCACAGAAGCCCTGTGAAGATTCGCCGATAACAGTCTTTCTAACATTCCGATTTTGGATGAAGTGTTCTTTGATCTTCTCTGATGATACATTTTGAATTCTGGAAGAGATGACTGAGGAAATGAGAGCCTCTTGCAACTGTATTTCTTCTGCATATTTTTCATCTGAAATAGGAAAAAGTTCCTCCTGATCATAGAGAGCTGAGAAGTAAAAATCGTCAACGTAGGGAATAGTGGTTCTTGAAGTCCCTGCCATTCTCTCTCTCTCTCTCTCTACACAACCTTGCACAAGTGTAACAGATTTTTATGAGTTTGGGAACGAGTCACAGGCTTGTGAACGGGCAAGGAACATGGGACAACCTTGCGAGGTCGACCTATTTTGGTACAGTAAGATACTTTCAGGGATCCTTGGCCTCCTTGTAGGGAATTCGAGTTTTCAGAGTTACAAAATAATAATAATCACTGCCCTTTATCCATAGTTTTGACTCTATAAATAGAGGTTACGGAACCAATTTAAAATATACTTGATAAACTAAGGAGACTACAGATATGATAACTCTCCTAACTACCTGAGATAACATGCCTATCCCAAGCAACTGTTATCATATGAACTATGTAACGTTTCTGTGTTCTAGAGTAATACTTATAGAATAGATGTCCTGTGGAATCTGGAGGGTTTATCCTAGTTTCGATACAATCATCAGAATCAAAGCGTATTGTACCACTTTCCAAACAAATTCCTCATGTCTGCCTCAAGAATATCAAAGGCCTGCCTTTTGTTCTATTCAATGAATTTTTTTTTTTTTTTGAGAGACTATTCAATGAATTTGATGGAAAACGAACAGTAATGTTTTACCAAGTTTTTTTTATCAAATTTTCATCTCAAGTGATATAGCACAATATTTAATGATATGGGACCCCACTTATTTGATCATTAAATATTAATATGACCCACTTATTTTATGGTAAAAATTATGCAACATCACTTGGAATAGAATACTTGCAAAAAAATATTATTCAACGTAGCATTGTTGAAAAGGAAAACAAGAATGCCTATAAATAGACTTACTCCAGCAATGCAACAGACCTCTGTTTCACCCACCACTAACATTTTGTATTTGTTCGTAGACTTGGGTAATTCTTTGTCCTTTTTTTTGGTTGGGTGGTGATGGAGTGGTCCCCTGGGGTGGGGTTGGTTTTTTTTCTTTTTTTTTTGGGGGTAGAGGGGGGGGGGGGGGTGTTGAGATTGACTATTTCAGCCAATGAGAGCACTTAGCTCCTGCACCCAGCACACGTTGGCTAGCATAGTTGTTGAACTGGGATGATTATTAAACTGACATGACAGTAATTACTATAATATGTATAATTAACCTATTTATTTGTAGATTTATTATTGGACAACGATGACAGTGTTATCCAATTACACCCAATATTTACTCCTCGTGACCACACACAAACCAACCTTCCAAAAATCCAGGAAAAAAGGATAATGTGGACTTGAGACCATGGTAATAAGGAATTTGCACTAATTATTTCTTTAAACCTGTAACAGCTACAAAACATTTCGTTGAGAAAATAATATGTTACATCACCCTTCTCATAAAATAGGCTAACCCCTCCCCTCATCAAGACGACATAATCCATGCACCCCCACACACCCCTCCACACACGCACAGGCTGACACCTGCCCCTTCTATAAATCAGTGCCTGGAAATTGCAGAATAATTATCTTCCTTTCTCTCTTTTGTCCGGCTTGTTCCTTTGACAGAAAACCCCGAGAGGACCGGAAAATATACGGGACTTGTCCAATCAACTTACTGAAACTGTCTAAGCCTCATGAATATCCATTGTTGTTTTTCTGCACTTTCTTTTTAAATTTTGAAATGCTGCACTGTGGACATATGTATTCTAGTCCATCTGTTTTTGCATAGTCCTGCAAGTTCAGAACAATAATAATCAACCAAAGTTTTTTTCACCAGAACAAAAGGCTAGGGACAGTTTCACAATCAAGAACTTATCAAGCTTCGGTAGCATAGCATACCTTGAACGCACCAAGACCCTGCCTTCTATCGCAGCCAAAATGAGCCCACTCACCACATATGCCACAGTTCACCCAGTCCCCAGCAGCGCTACTGGTGGAAGTTTGAAAATTTGGTATTAGAAAACAATGATCTCATAGTGATGTCCATACTCGACTAATTGGATCAAAGAAAATGAAATAAAAAAGTACCTGTGACACAATAAACAGCACTCTCCATCTACATCATCATGAGCTAACTCATATTCAAGAAGATAAGTCTCGTAATGTCTTTTAAGTGTATTTCCAACACCCTGAATCAAACAATCAGTATTAGAAAAACTCATAGTAGTTTTATTATCAAGAGAAGTATTCGGCATTGCAGCATCAGACACAAACCAGTAACCTATAAAGCTTACATATGGTCATTTGCATATGAGAATATGACCCCTAATGCCGTAGCATGACATCTAGGAAGCACGGATACTTTTGGAGGGGTGCTGTGACAGTGTCGGACACGTGTCCGACACGACTAGAAATGTTCTAAATAGTAAACTCAGTCAAGCACGATCATGACACGTGTAAGACATGCTCGGACATAGCAAGGAATTTTCTTTAAAAAAAAAAAAACTGTCGACTATTAACAGAGGTGTTATTTATGTTTTTTTTTTAATATAATTTTGTTATGTAACTTATATACTATGAATGTCAATGAATGTAATGATGTTTGATGAAAATAATGAATATTTATTTTAATCTATTTCAATTTTAATCAAAAAATTAATATTTGCTAGGTCTTATTATTAATATTGTTATATTTTAACATATTACAACACTGTCATTATTTAAAAAATATATTATATTATTTTATTAGTCATATCCTTGTTGTACTCATGTCTTAAATTTTGGAACTTAATTTGTCGTATCCCCATTTTCGTATCGTATCAGATATGACACCCGTATCCGTATCCGTGCTTCTTAGAATGTATATTAGAGTTTTGGAAGATACAAATTGCAAAACAAAAGGTTGCCACAATTGGTAAGGGACCATCCTTACCAAACTCGAGACCTGGAATGGGATTCTCCCCTAGTATAAAAACTGAGGTTCTTGCCTACATCTGAAAAAACAAATAAATAAATAAACGAATTGCTAAGAAAGGTTAGGGGCCATACAGTCATTCTATGGGTTACTGTGTGATTGTGCATCTTTGAGAAAACCTGTCCTTTCCAATTGATGCCATTGCCAACATGAAAGCCACCTCTTGAAACCACCTGGCAAAGAACCAACATTAAGTTGATCATTATGTTGAATGTCTCTCACAGGTAAAACTTTGAAGTATGAGAAAAGAGTCATATACCAACTCCCTCGGATACAGAGTTTCATGCAGTCAGCCTCAGCAGGGTGAACCTGCTACTAACCAAAGATATGAGAAAGCTCACCTCTCTGTACAAGTTGAAGAGGTCAAGGCGTTTTGCATTGAGTACAGCGTCTGGGAACTCGGCAAGCCCACCTTGAGGAATGAGACGAGTATGCCCCCGAAGGATTAGAAACTGCATAACATCCTTAAGAAATTCCTCCTGTGAAATAGATGAATGCAAAATCAATATAATCAGATCTAAAGTGAAAATTTAACAGACACAGCAGTCAAATGCTCAAGGGCCAGCCAAAAGTAGATAATAAGACCTATCAGGGCCAACTGATTGCTACCTATTCTAAATTGCAGAACACTCGTATTTCAAATACGTGCTCGCGATGAAATTTTCCAATTTTGAAACACCAGTTGGTTGATAAAGAATTTGACAAAAAGACCACAAGTAGTAAAAAGGAAAATCACCCTCCATCTTGTATATTATCCATCCACACTTTTATGCTAGCCCGACACGAAGCAAAGAAAGGCATTCACCCAACTTATCAATTGCATATTGCGTATAGCAATATTGTTTTTTCATATCAGATAGTTCCATATAATTCAATTATTTCATGTCTGTCATTATTTTTGCAATGTATAATGCTTACGATCATCATTAGCATCAGCATCACTATAACCATTACCATCACCATTACTGTCATCAGTATTTGGGTGCCCATACGCCATACCAGTCACATCACAGCCAATTTGACATAATGACATCACATGATTCAGGGACAACCATGTTAATCAGATATAATGATCTGATTCACCAACTCACCCAATTAATTGTTTGATACCATTAAGGGAAAATAACAGATGGTTCCATAAAGTACAGTAGGCAAGAAGTTGCCTCTATCAGCATATTCAGACAAGAAGTACCCCTATCCAAAGATCTCATTTTCTAGTCAAAATGGATGAAAAGACTTATAATCTTAGTGAGGAACATCTACCAAATTTGTAAACTAAGAACATTCCATTTCGTTACAAACTCAATCACTCATAACTTTGGAATGTGATCTCTTTACTTTCCCACCAGAGGTGTCCATGCAAGATAGATTAGAAGAATGCTAAACTTCCAAACACAAGCATTTTGAGACTAAAATTTGTGTACAAGCCCAGAAATATAGTTTAGTAACGATAGATCGGACAACTAAGAATGAACTCACCTCGGCACAAACATGTATTGGGCTTCTCCCACAACCATGCTTCTTTAGAGGAAGGGGATTCAAGGAAATAATTTGCTTAGCCTGATATGAACTTGAAGATGATTTTCGGTTGGTAACAGGATTTGGTCCAACAATGCTTTGCTTTGTGGAAGGAAAAAGGGCTAAGTTAGCCTTCACTTGGCTTCCATCATGCCCATCTGCCTCAGAAATTCCAGAAAAGGGCAGCATTTTCTGGTGACGAATATGAGGTATGGGCCTCATTGCAGCAACTTTCAGTTTCTGTCTAGCAGGTACAGAGGGCGTGGTAAGACCACTTGTTAATGCAGTTTCCTTCTCCTCTCGATCTTGATTGTTGGCAGCACCTTGATTTCCAGAAACCAACCCGTTTTGAGAGCCAGAGTTCGTTTCTTGGCATATTTTGGACCTCTTTCTACTCGGAGCAGGTGGTCTCAACCAGGTGGGAGGACTGCAGAAATTTAAATTGTTTAGACTGATCTCTTTCTCCTGCTTGCTACAGAAGAAAAGGAGTCGCTCTGGATCATCTTTCTCAAACGAAGCAACAGATAATCCCTGAATGCTGGCGATACCAAGTGCAACTAAACTTCGATAAGAAACATCTTGTGCTAGCTGCCTCAAAACCTGAAAAAATGCAAGCCCCAACAGCATAGACAATCATTATAAGCAATCAGATAAGTGGGCAATCATTACTCGATGAAAATCCAAAATCAAAGCAAGAGAAATTAAGAGCAATTTTTCTGTGTCAGAAAAATAATTCAGAGAAACTTAAAATAATGTCACTGCCCCCAACAACTTAGGGTGAAACTTCAAGAATGGACCTCATGCACTACCTCTGAACATCTTTTTTTGTAGCTGGCCCAACCAAATGTGGAACACAGATAGGCAATCAAAAGGAAGAGGAGGAGGGGGAGAAGATGAAGAATAAATCCTAAGCAAATATTACATAAAGATGTCCCTCATACAAAATTGCAGGTTTCACCATCCAGGAAATTCGAAGGAGAACTTTAAGCAACCCAAGTACACAAAGCAAGTTGATTCAGATGGAGAAAAAAGGATAAGAAACTATGAACCAAATAAAAGGAGTGTAACTGAATAACCTGTGAAGCCCATGCAGGGACCTTCATGCAAACTTCAAATACTGTTGCCCCACAAGCTATTGAAGCAGATCTCCGAGGTTCAGACATTGGAGGTTTGTTTTCCTCACTATACGGCAGTGCATGAACAAGCTGACTCTTTTCTACAGCTTCACTTTTTATATGATTCTCCAAGAGCTGAGAACAAACAGGTCACCACAACTCAGGTTCTAGAAACTCCACTAGCCATGCCCATGTCACTCAAATCGAAAACACATGGTTATCAAGATAAAATCTCTACAAAATTACCTGATCATCAAAGCACGTTTGTGCGCTACCTGACACCAGAAGCGAGATGTGGGCAGAACTACTGGTTGACAAATCACATCGCATGGTCACAACACCACGAGAAAATGTCCCTGCTTGCAGGGGTGGTGGAAGGGCACTGAACCATATAACAATGCCATTAAATATTAATTGCTAAATATCAACTTCCAAACATATAACTTGTGGAGAAGTAATCTAATTCATTAATATTTGCAACTAGAACAACAAAATTCAACTGGACTGGCTAAGTAATAGAAACATCCCTTCAAAACACCACAAATATAACAAACAATATGTATCTCTCAATATCCCAAGCTGAGACGTACCTAACCCGGTTATGAAGTTTGCTCCCTCGAATCTGAAACATTGGAGACAGGAAAAGGAAAAAATGAAATACTCAATCATGTAAAAGTAACACTATAGGAAACAGATAATAGCAATGAGGAAGTAATCTTATTCTTGTTTCTTCTTACTCAAAGACACCAAATATGTATTCAAATACATAAAGAAGAAAGAGAAGTGTCCACACCCAGCATTCTTCAAGTTACTTTATCCAACAAATAAGACAATAAATGAATTTCTTTAGAACAGTCTTTGACAGAGGAGATGATGAAAAGAGGAGTGGGGGTTATTGCGGTATGAAAGGGGGAGAAGGAAACATCAGTTGTTTCTCTCCTTGAAAGAGCAGTACGCCCATTAGATAGTTCTTAAGACATACTACATTTCAAAATGAATCCATGCATTTTGTTTGCACTAGAGGAGGTTGCAATCTACTACTTCTATACCAAATGGAAGGCAAGTGTAAGCAGCTTGAAGGCTTAATACTTACTTCAATACTCAAGAGGGCATTGAGGCCATCTTCCAGAGATCCTAGTAAGCATGCATCCTGAAAAGAAATTGATCCGCAACCAAAATATCCTAGTTAAACGATATAATGCGTATTTGAAAGAGGTGCTTGAAAAGAACTTCAAAAACTTCAGAAATTTTTTTCCAAAAACATATGTTTCTCCCAACTTACCAATTTGCATGCCAGCCCACAAACAAGAAACCTCATGTTCACATCATCATCATATATCTTTATGGCGGGAAGAGCACCTGAACAGCTTTCTTCATCATCTTCTGCACTTATCTCGGGTGGAGTAACATGGACCTTAGGAAGGTCTCCAAGAAGGCATGGACCCACCTTACCATTCACTTTCTGGGTGTTGGAAGGTAGGACAAGATTGTTTTGATCACAGTAAAGCCTAAAGGATGCATGCGCGAGTTGGAAAGCATCCCAAGTATGGCAAGATGAACTACAATCCACAAAAGACATTATTATCAAATAGTAAATTTTCTTTTCTAATGCACAAATGGATGGATATACTGTACACGCATAAACATACAAGTACACAAGCACCATGCATGTCTCCCACTGAATACGAAGTGAATGCTAGTGGGATCCTCATCTAAGGATGGAAAGTCCATGCCTTGATCGCACAAACACACAGAACAAACAGACAACACAATATGCATTGCAATTTGCAACCACTAATCAAGGCACTTAAATAAATAAAGTGTTATCGTAGAGGTCCCCAATATATAATGCTATTATAGAAGCTCCCAAACAATATCCATAACGTGCTTGGTAAATCACTCAAAAACAGGGGCAATCTTACACCACACCACTCGATGAGCATGTGCAAAAGAAAGCTTGCAAACTCATGCAGACCTGCACAAATTAGGTTCATTTAGCAAAATGTTGAACTCAGATTACCCAACTACTCTAAATTAAACAACCTCGATTCACCAAATCGCCAACATGATTAATCTATTTAAACTTTCATGTTTATACGCGGAAGGCAATTTTCGATATATATGAACTCAACATGAAATGAATAGGTTAGGGTTGAAAATAGTTAAACACAATTACAAAATGACACAAACAAGTTTAGTGTCATACAAGAATAACCCAATTTTGACATGACAAACTTGTTGAAGTGATATTTTATTATCTGCTTTTATATTTTTTTCCATCTCTTGATCTACTATCATACAAATCTCTGTAGAATTAGAGGGCTTATTTATCTTGATTTTACTAACATCAGGAATTGAGTGGATTCTATTTTTGGGGGGCTTATGAGTGGTAGGTTTTGATTAAGAGAATGAAGTCCTAGTCATAGACTTTGGTTGACACAATTAATAAATAGGTCGAGTTAATGTTGAGATGATTAATTAAAAAAGCTTGGTTAAACCGACAAGTATTTGACACAAATCCGAAATAACATGATATGACGCAACTCAACTAACGCTTCCAGTTTTAAGTAAAACTATACAATTATGTCATACACACACAAACTAGACATGCACAAACGTAGACATATAGAATGGTGTAGTACCAAAAAATGACGAAGTCAGATTGACGCATTTTATATTCACCAAGGCCAAAGGGAACATATTTAGGGATAAAGAAATCAAAAAAAAAAAGGGATGAACAGGAACATTGCCTAATGAGGCATTAGAGTTACTCCATGCTTTATACTTACTCGGGTGTGTTACACACTTACCTCTGCACCACTGAGAATAATGCATGACGAAATGGCAAGCAGCATAACAAGAAAATTCATTCTCCCAATATATTGCGTATGGAATTCCCTGCAATGATGAAATATAAAAACTAAACCAATATTCTTGAGAAGAAAAAAGCATCCAAAACATTGATCATCTCAGCTTCTGGTGCTCAATGTCTGAATCCACATACAAACTTTAACCAAACAACATTTGTACAAGTACCC